AGTTGGCAGAAGAAGCATCAAAGATAGTACTTCAGGTGAACATAGAGAAGAGAGAGGTAATGAAGATTCCTGGACAAGAACAACAGACAATAATCAGCATAAATGGAAGGAACCTGAAAGAAACAACCTCTTTTACCTACCTGGGAAGCATCGTCTCAACTACAGGCGGAACTGACGAGGATATCAAAGCAAGAATCGGGAAAGCAAGACAAGCTTTCACTACTCTCAAGTCTGTGTGGAGGTCAACAACACTCAGCATCAAAAATAAGATACGGATTTTCAACTCCAATGTGAAGTCAGTGCTGCTATATGGATGAGAGACTTGGCGCGTCATAAAGAGCATCTCAAACAAACTACAAACCTACATTAACAGTTGTCTTTGCTCAATACTCAAGATCAGATGGCCAGAAAAGGTCAGCAACAGAGATCTCTCGGAAGCGAACCAACACAGTAGGAACCGATTGTGAAACAAATAGGCAGGAAGAAATCGGGATGGATTGGCCATACTCTGAGGAAACCATCAAGTGACGTCACTAGACAAGCCATTGCTCGAGTGGAACCCGAAAGGGAAGCGGCGAGTTGGTCGTCCAAGAGTGAGGGTGACTTGGAGGAGCTCATGTGAAGAGGAGATGAAAACGTGTGGGCAGACATGGAGCCAGGTGAAGACTCTAGCAGAGAACCGAACGCAATGGAGACGCACTGCTGAAGCCCTATGTTCCTCTAGGAATTAAAGGAAACAATAATAATAATAAATCCCAGACAGTCCCAATTACCAATCCAATCAGCTCACAAAAAGGATCTTTACATATCCTTGCCGTTCAGGGATGATCAACAAAGACTCAAGGCCACAATTAATAGAACTTATTATGCAGCTAAACGTATCCTCATACAGAAAACGAGAACTGTGCTGTCCTGTAAACCCTCTCATTATCCGAACGATAGTGTCACATCCCATTGTGTTCATCAATTTACATGTATATGTGGACACACGTACATAGGGAGGACCCACCAGTCTCTGAAGGTTAGGGCTACGGAACGCATTCCAAAGTGGCTGCAACAACAAATAAAATCGCCAGACACAATTGATCCCGGAAATAGATGTCCAACATCATCCATAGCGAAGCACATTAGAGACAGGTCATAAGGTTGATTTCAACAATGCCTTTAAACCCATATGCAAAACAAGGTTGGGTCACATGCTTAAATTCGTTGAAGCCTTGGCCATAAAAAGACTTAAACCGGTCTTATGCATTCAAAACTTATTTGTTGTTACTTTAAGCCTGCCTTAGTAATCCAATTTAGAACCAAGGGTCAATTCACTTGAGAATATTTTAAACACCTTCTTTGTTTTGTTTTTTCTCTTTTTCCTTTCTTACTCACAACTTTGTGTCATCTCCCTATCCATTATTTGTGACCTTCGCCTGTGCACAATCTGATCTGTGTTGTAATTATTCATGCCTTCTATAAAACCGTGTATGACAAGTACGTGTTTGATCAGGATGTCCAGAAAGTGTTGCGCAAATACATTACACGTTTCAGATAAACTACGTTTTCTTATTGTGTTGTCCAAATTCATAACGGGAACTAATTGCTTTAAATAAATAAATGTCTATCCCTCTACGGCCAAAGCAGAAGTAGGGATTGTACGCACTTCTTGTGTAGGTAAAGGTCTGGCTTAGATTAATGAATGGCCATGGCCTCCGTTGTCTTTAGAAGTGTATAACGAAGAAAACGCAGAAATTTAGCATGGATTCGGTAGATGATCTTAAAATCATAGTCAGGGTTGGCAGAGTGACAGGAGTCAATCAGGTTTTCTGGAATAGGACTTCGCACACACTTTTTTTCTCCCCTGTGAAACCATGCTGGAATATGTTCTCGTATCCGTGTGGAAAGCGTTCTCTGACTACGACCAATGTACATTCCTCCACAAAAGCAGGTGAACTGATAGATGCACATGGAAGCGGCCAGACGCGGGAGCTTATCTCCTACAGAGATGAAGAACAACTTGCGGCTGGTGAACGTCATTTTTAAGTCTTACTGACTGTTTTAGAGAAACGGTTTTCGAACATATCTGAAGCTTGATTACCTTTGAATTCCAAGTTCATGAATAAGGTTTTCTTTAAAGCTGAGTCGGTGACCAGTTTAGACTGCTTATTTTTTCGTGTTAGGGTAACCGTTTTCTGCGAGCGTGGCTTTTAAGAAGTCAATTTCTGAGTCAACGCAATCAGAACTACAAACGTTCCTTATACTAAAGCAGAGAGAGTGAATTAAATTCCATATATATACGATTGTACAGCTTGATAATAAATTCGTTGAAAAAAGCCTCTTCGCTGAATATTGTGTTCTTAATTTCTATACGATTCACAGACTTGGCGACTGTCACCTAAAGCACTCCTGACAGACTTGCATCAACAGCTGCCCTTTTCGCTCGAAGCTGGAAATCGTAAAACCGGCTGGAAAGGATAAGCAACAAGGATTTATGCCAAGGAAACCAACTAACAATCTATCACTAAATGAAAATGGAGATGGATTGGATATACGCTGAGGAAACCATAGAGTGACATAGTGTGCAATACTCTTATGTGTAACCTGAGTGGAGAAAGACGAGTTGGTCTTCCAAGGATGACATGCAGGAGACTGTTTAAACAGGAAATGAAAGCTTATGGGAAATTGTGGAGCCAGCTAAAAAAGACCACAGTGGACAGAATACAATGGTGATGTGTCTTTAGTTCCACCTGGAAACGGACGGAATAACGACAAATACGATTTAATAGCGTGAAATTTTCCCATATCATGAATTAAAAGTCAATCTAAATATTCTTTTCAATAATTTCCCTTCAGGTTCTGACAATTATAAAATGTAATAGTTGTTGTCGTTACAATAATGGCCAGTTAGGCGGCGGATAGATTTTTTTACGTAGAATAACAGATTTATGGGGTGTCAAAATAAGTAGTATTTTTGTGACAAACGTGCTAGTAGCCTGAAATCGATTACAAAATATTGTCAAATGGGAGACAGTGGTGGTGATTAGTCATAATGGATTCGCAGAATGTGGGGTAGGAAAATTGACAAGTCAGTTCAAGGTTATAAAAGGTGTCAGGTGAGTGACAGGCTAGAACAAAGTGGTATGTATTAAAGAGAAGATAGTAAAACTGCAGCGAGAGGTTCATAATGAAATAACGAACGTGTGAAATGAAACAGGCGGAGGCATATATTAAGAAAAGAGATAATATCATTAATAATAAGTCCGGATAGTATAAATGGAAAATTCGATAGTATTGGGAGAATGTTTGCAGGAAGGGTATAAATTATGACGAATCATAATAATTGTAGTAATAAGCAAAGAAAGAGAAAAAACCAAGAGGGTTAAGGGGGAGAAGCAATCTTGGTGAGAAGAAAAATCATCAATCCAAGTTTGGACACGGTAGGAACAGTGTCTGTGCGTTTTCTTTTTGGATACAAAGTTCCGGTTTAGTCGACCTTATTGCAACAGCTTCAGCTATCAAATAAAGTATAATTATATTTCAATGGTTTACACAATGATAAGTTTTGGTATAGGTAATATTTTTTTTAAAACAAAACAATTTCAACAGTTGTGTGAACACGGGCAGTAATTTTGCTCGAAATATTACCAATGTTCATATCTACAAGACAGTCAACAGGTTAAAATGTATCTTTCAAAGTAAACTTAAATAATTCATTGCGTACTGGACTTAAAATATCAGCTAACCATTTTGCTAATGTATGTGTAGGAGAGTGACACATTCATAGAGTTGGACGTAATGGATTATCAACTTTATGAATCTTGGGTTATCCATAGAGGTTTGGAAAGTCAGAACCCATGGGTCTCAAGGAATTAAACTCCTGTTTATCGATAACGTCCATGCCACGAAGTTTTACTACGTGAGAAGTTACTTTAACTTCTAATTTTCTGATATCATCAGAAGGAACATCGGCTATGAATTTACTTTTGTCATTAAGGATGGATAACACTTTTGTTTTGCAATCGCTTCTGTCCATTACAACTACACCAGATTCTTTGTCAGATTTCAAAGTAACTAAATCGGATCTATTACGTAATTCCTTTAGGGCTTTAAAATGAGTTGATGTTAAAATGCTTCTTTGTTTCCGACGGAATTACGGAATTGGTGTGCTACATCTGCAAATTTAACTTTCAACCGACTTCGGTCATCTGTCGAGGAAGGAGTTAGAGAACTCAACTGATCATACAAATTTTCAAACTGAGAATCAATTGCTAAGTCTGAATTATTGTTTAATGGGATAGAAAAATTGAAACCAAGTGATAGCACCTCCTTTTCATAGCACCTCCGATGACAGATTTGTCACATACTTATCAGGATTTAATGGGAATTGGCTTAATTGAAGTCAGAGGTACAAGATCCAAGTAATTCCAATCTGGTATTCTCTTTCGTCTTATTAACAACAAAGCTACAAAAATTAATGAACTTGATTTGGCAAATTATGGAGACATCAGACAATATATTTTTTGATGCCAATAAATAGAGTTCAATTAATCCACAAAATTTCTCATTAAAATTATCAATGTGAAATTTCGTAAGGCGAATATGATTTGAAAAATTTGGTTGTCTATAGCTAAACACCTAATCGAGATGAACCATAAGACTGATATTAACTCAGCCTTTAAGGTCATCTATAAAAACGGTCAAGGACGCTTATCGAAATACGCCGAGGCTATAGCTATTCATAAATTTAAGTCCCCTCCCTGTGTATTCAAAAACAGTTTATTATTACTCTTAACCTTCCTTGGTTGTTCTTATTTGATTGGATTACCAAACGTTGTGTTAATCATTCTTAAATTTTTTTCTGTCGCTTTGTTTATTTTAACTTTTTCATATATAGAGACTTGACAAGTAAATGTGTGATCAGATTGTTCGAAGAGTATATCGCAAATACATCACATTTTTTAGAAAAAGACATCACTTTTTAACACTCATTTCATATTATTATATTATTTTGAAATACCAAAAGAAAGTGATTGTTTAATAGCAAGTTTACTGTACACAATATTAATTAAATCAAGCAAATCATTTATACACATAATCTACGAAATAAACTGTGAAAGCACAGGGTTGTACACTTGTGGCTGGTTGTTAAAGTCATTAAGTTATTTTGCTTTTTTTTAAACATTTAATGTAACAACGAATTTATTTCTACTAAAAAATGAAAAGTCATTGTAATTAAACCCCATGAGAAAACTGAACGTATGAAGTTAACAGGTACACCACGAAACAGTCTCAAAATATTAAGTTTATTAGACTCTTCATATACTAATGATATAAAAGTTGAACGAAGTCCAACAAAGCATCCACCAACAGTCGATTGCATACGTGTTTTCATAACATTAAAAGGAAATGTAATCACACCGATAGAACCTCCTAAAATACCACCAAAAGCAAAATTCCATAGGCTACGTTCCATAGTACTCTCACCAGGTCGACGAACACGAATATCACTTAGCCATTTATGTCCACAAAAGTAAAGTCCATTGGCTATACTATTTCTGAATAAAACAGGAGTTAAACCTCTGTAGAGCTCTTTGATACCGTGATCCGATGTAATAGTTGTCAGAGCGTGGAAAGTATTCTTATACCGATCATGATAATACCTGTTTTGCAGTAGCGTTTGAACACGTTCAAAAGGCATAAGTGTAGCTTCACACCAACCGGCAATAGTGGAAGAAACAATCTTCTGTAAAATTGGTGGATAATCGAATGTTATAGGATGATTAACTAGGAATCGTTCTGATGTACTTTGAACACCGAACATAAGTGCTCCAGTAGAAGCTCGTTGAAGCAAAGGAGGTAAAACCCCTCTGTAAGCCATACGAAGTCCTTCTATTCGATAACGAATCAGTGCTTGAATCCAGGAAATGCCATCCAGCTGCTGGAAGAATACAGTCTTATATAAGGGAAAGAGAGCTACAACACTAACAGAATAAGCTGCTGCACCAAATAAAAATTCGTAATGTGGATAAGTGACATTATGAATGTGATGGTGAGAAGAAGAATGAGGAGTTTCAATTTCTTGGCCCATCGGCGCGAAACGAAAATCCGAAGACTGATTTTGTTTCGCTATACGATAGAAATTTCATTGCACATTGATGCTCTGAAAAATGAATAACAGATTTATCAAGATCTTTATCGGAAATATTTTTAAATCTCTTTTTTAGAATGACAAACCGTATTAAACCGAATAAAAACCTGACACAAAAGACTAGCTGGTTTCAACAGTAGAGTACTTTCATTGGATATGAGAAATCACAAAGAGTGAATACATCTCCGCCATTATCGAGAACGACGATTTCGAGTCATATCACCAGTCGCCTCCAGCCATTATTGGTTCTTACCATCCACCCCGAGGACTTTAATCAGGAAGTTTACACCTCCCTACGTGGTTGGCTGGCTTAAACTAACTGTTGTGAATTTCATTTCATAGCCAACTCTTTTCCAACCTGATCCCATGTCAGTCAGCTAACATTGCCCGTCAGTCGAGGAAGGCGATGGCTAGGCAGGCATGCGTAACACGTGTCCTAACCATCTCACTCACTGGATGTAACTGCTTCACAACCTCATCGATTGATTCCCCCCCCCTACCTAGCACTCGACCGATGCCTAACTTCAATATTGTTCACCTAATCATACCACTTAACACGGGAGATAGAATGCAGACACGTATGATCAAAGACAGCTAGCCTTTTCGTATCTTCCTTTTTCAATGTCTGTCTCAGTCATAAAGGATGATGGAGAGAACTGCTGAGCGGCACACACGTCTTCCGGTTGACAGTCAGCCGGCTGGATAAAATGTCTACTTAGCCAGAGATGCCATAAGTCGCCATATGCCAAACTAGCCTTCTGTATATCTGCTAAGATTCCGTCAGCGATTAACACGCACGAGCTGGCTGATGCAACTCCCCAAATAAGTGAAGCGGTCAATGAGCTCTACCACATCACTCCCTATCTTTAAGCCAGCTGGGAGTGAGCCGTTGTAATCCAGTAGCATCATCATTTCATATTTGACAGGATCGAATCGCATGCCAAACATTCGAAGATTGCTGCTCAAAATGTTTAGAGGACTGCATTTTCTCAGTGTCTTCACCAGGGAGCAGGACAACAACGAGATTATTCCTTGGTGGTAACAAGTCGATCCCTGAATCGCTGATATCATTTAGGGTTAAGTTCATTGGTATATCTATGATGAAATTAAACAGAAAAGGAGAAAGTGAGCATCGCTGACAAATACTACTGGTTGTCGGATGACAACTATTCGTAAGCTCTCACCTGGCTGATTGCATAAGTTCGAGTAGAGTGCCTTAATCAGTACAATATATTTTCTTGGCATTTCTTTTACAGTCAAACATCGCCAGAGTACTTCTCAGTAGAGAGAATCGAATGCCGCCTGTAAGTAACATGTGTCCCCCCCCTTACCTGGCACTCGACCGATGCCTAACGTCAGTATTGCTCACCCTAGTATACCACTCAACACGGAAGACAGAATGCAAACACATATGATCAAAGACAGCTAACCTTTTCGTATCTTCCACTTTCAATGACTATGTTTCACAGCTAGCCATAAAGGAGGACAGAGCGAACTGCAGAGCAGTACACACGTCCTTTGATCGACAGCCAGTCGGATATTCCTATGTCCGAGAATCTATCGCAAGGTGAAGATATGAACGATACACTCTCTTCCTGGTCTAATGCCTGCCTGGTTCCCTCGTGTTTGTTCCTCCCGAGCACCACTTAGTCTACGCAGGATTATTGGGCCTAAAACTTTAGATACTATATTCGTTAAGCTAATCCCCCTGTGATTATCACGGGAAGACTTGTCTCCCTTCGTGTATATAGGGATAATCAATGACTTTCACCAGCCCGACGGGAGTTCCTCTGACTCTCAGATGCTGCCTAATACCTTGGTTAACGCAGACAGTAAACTGCCTCCACCGTCCTTAAACACCTCTAGAATCATCCCATCAGGTCCCATTGCTTTGCATCGTTTCAGACTAGTGACAGCTTTCGTAACCTCAGTTAGGGATGGAGGACCGGTGTTCATACCCCATTCAGGAAAGTGTTAGATGCTGGTTAAGTTGAGGGTGGATATAGGCCAAATAGATTGGTCCTCACTCAAAGTGTCCTTCTCAACGTCCCATTTGTCTATCCTGAGAGCCAATTATGGTGCCATTTTTCTCAGATTGTTCCACTTATCATTCGCATTTTGCCACCTGTTTTCCTGATAAGTCTAAATACTTACCCACCGCCGATGCCTTCTCCATCTCTTTCGCTTTTGTCACCCACCACTGTTCACGGTCGTTATGCAGACTTCTTGTTAGTTTGCGTTTGAGCAGCTTTCGCTCCTCATCATGTTCGGGGCTCTCCGGAATCAGTCTCCTTGCGTCTACCAGTTCGGATGAGGTAGCAGAAATCCAGTAACTCTTACTGACTTTTGGTTTCAGGTTATTAACAGCCTTTGCAGCCGTTTCAACAGCTGACTGGCCTGTATGTTGAGCCAGGTCTCCTCAGGAGGAGGAGAAGGAGTCTTGCTGTCGATCTCAGATACCTGTTTCGTTATTTGTTCTTTGAATACGGACTCTGTGTCTTGATCTAGTTGGGGACGTAACTGCTTCACTGCCAACAGATTTTATATCCGTTTAATCCTAAGCACAAAGATGCGCGAACCAGGGCGTGACCGGAGTTCACTCACGTGTTCCAGAAGGAGCGGCAGTCTTCTACTGACCCTCGCCAACGATACAATATCGCTATGTGGTCTATTTGAGTCCCACGTTGATTTGGTGATGGAGGTCGCCAGGTTACACAATGTCTCCCTTTGTGCCCAAAGTTAGTGCTGACTAGGAACAGATGATTATCCCAACAGAACTGCAGTAGACGATCACCGTTTTCTGTTCGTCGGCAGGGAACTCCGTACGTACCACCGGTTTTCTTCCCATTCTGGCATAACTGCCCTACTTGGGCATCGAAGTCGCCTGCAAAAACAAGTATGTTTGAGCGTTTGGCTTTTTGCAGCAAACTAGACAGTTTCTGGTAAACATCACCCCTTAATTCATTCGAACGGCCGTCTGTTGGGTAGTAAGTGGAGACTATGAAAAGGCAACGACGGGTAACGTCGTCCTTCCTTCCTTTCTCCCTCTAACGGACCTGTTCAGACAAACCGCACACATACGCTTATTCCCTGGGATCCAGTCAAGAAGAGACTTTTCTATCCTAACACTCAGTGATATCCCTACACTTGCCAGTCCTCGCGAATTAGCCGAAGAATCTCGTGACACCCTTAAGGTAAATTTCGCAGAGTCGCCTTGTTGGCAGGGTGGGGTCAAGTGAATAACCACACTGGGGTTTTTTATGCGTGTCTCCGAAACACAACATACATCCATGGCTCGAGATGCCACAGTTTTCGCTAGTGATGCCTGTAGCCAATTTGGCAGAGGGTCTTGACGTTAAATGCTCCAATAGGAAGTTGGCGGTTTAGCTTTAAGAGGTTGCCGGGGGTGTTTCTTGGCTCTCATCGTTATTTGTGTTCACAGAATGAAATGAAGATGACTCACTAACCTGCAGAATAGTATTAGCAGTAGTAGAGAAGCAAGCTAATGAGGGTGACAAGGATAAAGGACGATGGTCGGGTTCACAAAGTTTCGGTGGATGAAGTCTTACTTTGTCGGTGAAAATTAGCCTCTCTTGGCTTAAAATGTGAGGTAATGCTACGCGTTCGATCATCATTGTCTCCATAGAATTGCTTGTATTCGGTAGCGTATATATGAGGACCAGCGAGTCATTTGGACGGGGTAGAAATCACCTCACAACAGTGGCTTGCACATGTCCCTTCACTGCCTGCTAGCCTCGGGGCCGATTGGACATAGACGGAAGGTGGTCGGTTGACGATATGGAGTCGTGGAATGAAAAGAACTTATGTGTGACCAACATATGCTGGCCTCCAAAGCCTCAGGATGGTCGGGGGTGGGTGCCTTGCGCTGCGGGTTGGCCACCCCTCCGTACACCTCTTGAAATGCTCCCATATGACCGGGCGTCTTACATAGCCTCTCCTGAGGAAGTCCTACTCACTGCCTTCACGTGGCGGAGGTGTTTTTCACCAAAGTGAGAGGGCGGAAGCGGATGCCCGGCGCTCTCCACCGGGTTGACTGTCCATTGGATGACAGTCTAGGGGAGATGGCTAAACCCTGATTCCAAACCTCTAACGACTGGCGTATGAAGCTCACTGGAGCTCACCGGCAGACGTATGGACAAAAGGCTTGTTGGATGTCCTGGATGTCTGGCCCGATTCAAAAAGGCGTATGAACCGAACTCCGGTCACCGGCTGCCAATGGATAGTGGACACCCTACTCCACTCCTACTGCCTTGTAGGTCACACTCGGTTGTGTAAAGGCTAGAGCTGCACTCTCAAACAAAAGGCCGAGCGATTTTGGGGACATCACTCGTACCAAATTCCCATGAAACTTCATGAACTCTCTTCATCAGATCGCCGCGTCTGGGCAGCGATGATTCGAGATGTCCATGAAGCCGGCTCATCCTTCCGTAGGAGATGGCCGAAGTAAAGCAAAAAAAGCAAGCATCAAGACTCCCTGAGTGGTATCTCACAGATCCGGACTCTGTCAGGTATGACTCAATGCCTAAATTAGTAGCAAATATGTTGTGATTTCAGTATTAGAACCACTTCTACAAGAAAGATGAAGTTACTAACGCTCCTTTGGATATACTGGATAAGCAGGCTTATCTGCTCCATTTTCCTGATCTACATTTCTTCTTATTTTCAAGTGTTGGCTTGAAGGGATTTGACTGATTATAAACTGACACCAGTCAGGAAACCACTGGAAACCAGAGGGTATTGAATCGTTTCTTCGACTTAATAAGGGACTTCAACAGTACACAGTCATGACCCGACAGAGATTGAAACTAGAACCTTTAAGTTACGAGGTAAGTTTGTTGACAGTTCAGCCACTGGGACGAAATCCAAAGGTCCATGAATTGTAACTTCTACCAATTAGTCACAGATAGCGCGAGGGCCAGCTAATTTCTTCACACCTTATTTACTGGACCCCATTGGTTATGAATTCTCACTAGAACTCCAGGAACTACACGCCGCAGTCAGTAACTAAGGGGCTTTGAATTGTTTTTCAAGTGACAGTTTACACAGATTAGATTGGTTTCATGCTTGGTCACGATTGACATCAGTTAGAGAATCAAACTAAGAGGAAGCAGCCATCTACTACTCCCTAGTTTTTTGTATACTGTTAGTCAATTATTTTGGGTGGTGCATCCTTTGGTGCCAATACTGTATCAAATTTAGTTAAAATAAGTAAAATAGAGCAAGGTTGTTTATCTATGAACCTTACCTTTATAATCGATGAGCAGTAGAGCAAGAAGGAACACCTGAATGTTACAGCTGGGGCTACTCTACACAAAGCCATCACTAACAATGCCAGTGTATGTTTCCCAAAAGACAGGATATTAATGGGCCGATTGATTTATTAACAACTTAAGACTAATTATCTTTGACATTTAGTATTCTTCATTTTTAAAATCACATGTAAGTTACTCATTAGTTTAACTTCAGAGTTCTAGTTTATTCAAACGTCTTCCGATTTTGCTAGCATTCATTATACTTTCGATTTCAAAAACTATTTATGAACTGCGAGTATGTTTAAAATACATAAATGATCTGTCAAGTATCAAATACGCGTACACATTATGACGTAACTCTTAAGTTCAGAATATTATGAAGATGAGTAACTGAGCATGAAGCATGATCCTGTCATAGACACTACAGCGGAGTTGGAAAGATACTATTTTAAGGAAGCCTACATTTTACAGACTTAAATGTTAAATATGCATCTACACCCATTAAGGAAAAGTCATTTGCTAGACATTGATTTGCACTTATGACGACAAAAGATTAAATTAGGAAAATCAATTATTAGGCCAATTAATTATAAGTACATAAGCTTTTCACCCAAGCATCCTGTCTATTTTGTTATTTCTATATTTCTAATCCCTAAATGCACAATATGTAAATCTTCCCAATAATTATGATGCTGCTTTGTTTGAGTTTTATCCATCCCCCTGTTTATTATGGTATTTTAATTCCTAATTGTAATTTTATTAATTTAACCCTTAAACGGAAATTATTCTGGAACTTACCCACCCATTTACTATAAATACACGAATGTACAACCTAGTTGATGACTCCGTAGGAAAAGAAAATTTTTTCACCGCACCTGTCTTCTTATTATTCCCTAAGATTAAATGTGTATATTCCGTGATTTGAAATCGTTGAATCATTCCAGATAGTAAGAAAAGTGAAATATCTTTCTGTGATAAGCGTAAAGAAGGTAGCTTGGTTAATAAGATATATAATACCTCAGGATTCATAGTAATGCGCCGACTAATTGATACTTGATAAAATCAAGCTCGGAAAAGACAATCAGGTTTCAGGAGCTGATTACTGCACTGACCAAAACTTCACCCTTTGAGGGGTTCTGTAACTATGAGACACCGGTGCTCGACATTTGCCATATTTCTTGACCTTAAGGAAGTACTTCACTGTCCATTGATATATTGTAACATGGTCTGACTGGGAAGAGAACTCAGAAAAATCACACTATTCTAACAAAGGTGCTAAGCTGGAACATATGCAAACACTTAAGAACTTATAGAAATTTGGTGTCTGAAGTGGTAAAAACTAGTATCAACAGTCAGAGATGACAGATGTACTAGGTCTGGTTTAGTCGTATAACAAATAGACTGATGGCTGGGATGGAGCGTATGATCTAGAAGTATCTTGACTTGAATTGCTATACGGTGAATATCTCATTCACTTATAGTACGCCGAAGGCATAGCTTTTTTAGACGCAAACGTTAACAAAAGATAGAAACCTCTCAACAAATCCCAGTGCTAGTTCAACAGGCAGTCGACCCCATGTTCATTCCTGCAGTAACTCCAAATTTTACAATATGGAGTGAACCGGAGGGATTTGTTGACAGTGTCTATTGTTAACAAAGTTGCGTCAGGCCTAATGGACCAATTGTTAGACAAATGCATAGTTTCGTCTAGCTTTAAGCCTGTGACAAACTGCTGATGTAAGCAGGAGATATGAAAAAGAGGGGATTTTATGTTTCCTCTGTTCAATCGCTCATGTTAGGGGCAGTGAAGCATATGTTTAATGACAATAGCACAGTAAACCATACTGTCAATTGATGAGGTTGTAAGCCCCGACAACTTAATAAATTATAATGCCTGTGCAGGTAACAGACAAACTGTTTTCCTTGACAAGCAGTCTCAACTGGAGCAATACGTACTGAAAGAGTTAGAGGTCAGACTAAACATTGAACCAATACACGAGATCACTAATTGTTGTTTTGAGACACAGTACGTGGGTTCTCAGAGGTGATAGGAATCACTCGTGTTCACGTTAGAACCAATCTTCAGTGAATTAAAATCAACCCGATTTTATCTCATGCTTCTGAAGGGACACTTGTGTCTGCGTTAACGATAATCAGTATTGAGTATAATCTTGAATGGAGTGATTTAGCACACAACAGATGTAAGTAAGCAAACAGCTCCAAAGAGACCACTTATACGAAGTTGATTCCCGACCGATAGATGCTACCTTGACGTGGTGGTCGGGTTTGCATATCGCAATGACCCAACGAGCTACACTGGCTGGAACGTATGTTCCTGTAGGTCCTACCATGCCAGAAAGGTTGTTTGGATAGCGGTTAGACAAAAAGCAGCTACCCAATCCAATACTATGACTCAAACAAACTCACAAAATATCATGCCGGATCGGTCGGATTAACAACGACCGCGCTTCCTGGTGCCGTGTCACAGGGCAGAAGTGATAAATATGCTACTGAGACACAACAAACAAGAAAGAACAACCAAAAACAGGTCGCGTGTGACCGGCCTCAAGCAGTTGTCCCCTGGGCTCTGCGGTCACGCAACACTAACCTTTTCTCTCTCCCCTTCTCAGGCGTGAGGCTAGCAACCCCACTCTGTAAACAAAGCTGCTACAGAAACTTCAGCACAACGAATCTCCTTGCGCCAAAAGAAAAATTCTGTGTGGGGACATGGAATGTCCGCACCATGTACGAGATTGGCAAAGCTGCCCAGATCGCAAACGAAATGAAAAGATATGGAATTCAAGTACTGGGGATATGTGAAAGCAGATGGAACGGGAATGGACTCACCAAATTGTCAACGGGTGAGTCAGTGATCTACTCCGGTCACCCAGAGGATAACCACATGCACACCGAGGGCGTGAACATCATGACGTCACCAACGGCAACGAAGGCCCTGATGCAATGGGAGGCGATCTCGCCCAGGATAATGACCGCCAGATTCAACTCCAAAGGAAGGAAAGTGTCAATTATACAATGCTATGCACCGACAAACAACTCCAATGTGAAGTCAGTCAGTGCTACTATACGGATCAGAGACTTGCACTGCGCGTCATAAAGAGCACCTCAAACAAACTACAGACCTTAATTAACAGCTGTCTTTACTCAATACTCAAGATCAGGTGGCCAGAAAAGATCAGCAACAGAGATCTCTGGAAGCGAACCAACACAGCAGGAACCGATTGTGAAACAAATAGGCAGGAATAAATCGGGATGGATTGGCCATACTCTGAGGAAACCATCAAGTGACATCACTAGACAAGCCATTGCTCGAGTGGAACCCGAAAGGGAAGCGGCGAGTTGGTCGTCATTGCAAGGGTGACTTGGAGGAGCTCATGTGAAGAGGAGATGAAAACGTGTGGGCAGACATGGAGCCAGGTGAAGACTCTAGCAGAGAACCGAACGCAATGGAGACGCACTGCTGAAGCCCTATGTTCCTCTAGGAATTAAAGGAAACAATAATAATAATTATTATAATACGGAGTTGATTAAGAATGAAGTGGTAGTGGTAAGCATTATAATAAGGACTCCTGTCTACAATTATAAGCAAAAGTCGTATGCAATAGTTTTGTATTAAAATTTTTTAACAAAATTTCGTTTCGAAAGAATATTCCTTTGTAAGATATAAGACAAAAGAAAATTAGCCTCAGGAAAAATTTCCTAAGCTAACTTTAGTGCTGAATTAAATCTCGCTAACTCTGAAATAACTCTAACATTCTGTAATGAGTAAACTCTGGGACTGTTCTGAATTGGTTAGATTATGCGCACAAACTAGAACTCAGTGCTGGTTTTCAGCACGACTGGCACTAATTCAGTACCCTGAGCTTTTCTAGGCATTTTCAGTTGGTTTGCTAATCAGTGTTATCCAGCCCACATTTACCACTGAATGGCATTGCTTCAGAACAAAAAGACTTAGTTAGGCACATAGTGGCAAGTTTTTCAGCTTTATTTCAGCCCAGATTCGGAACTTACTGGCATAGCTTGTGTGTTTGAAATTTAGTCACAACCCACACTTTCAATCTCTTTACATGTAATTAATAATGTACTGAGTAATATTGTGGTAAATATCAGGCTCAGATTTGAATAAAACTGGAAAAACTAACCTCTAGCAGTAATCAACTAATTTGTTGCCGCATCAAGGTCACACAAGGTCGTTTGAGGTAGCGACATCAAACGGTACAATGGTAAAATTAGTCTACAAAGCAACTGCGCAAAATTGTTTCCTTACTGGTTCTTGCCTGTCTTGTCAAAAAGTTCACATCTGCACGGGAAAAGTCATCCCCTTTATGCTTTCAGTGTCTCTGGTCAACTTGCACTAACATATTAATTTAATGGCGATCGGTTCTTATTTTGCGTAATGGTCCTAAAATTTTGTCGAACTGTAACGCGAGGTATATCCCCAGTTATCTTCTGTGTACTTAGTGGATGCAGTGGTAGGGTGGTTGTTTATTAATTCTCTTGAGACGGTATCGCTGACTTGATTGGTATTTGCACTCCAAACCAGCCATCCACAAGATGAAGGACTGCATAAGAAACAGGACAGTGTATAAGAAGAGGAGAGACAAAACAGTGACAGTAGTAATAAAAACCGAAGTGGGGCAAATATATTGGGGAAAATGATTAAAAGCTGAAAAAAGGACAAGTAGCAGGTAGCCAATTAGGTTGTCCTCCGTAGATGTCAATAGATTGTGAGAATTTTATTGTTTAATGTCGTCGTTTTGCAGCTTGCCAAATCAATCAGCAGTGGACGCAGCAAGAAACATACTCAGGGGTTAAACAACCCGGATCTTAAGCCTGTCACTTGATAAAATTAATCTGTCTGCCTTTTGATGACTGTTTCGTAGGTTGTTCGCTAAGAATCCTTAGGTCCATGGTCAATAACAACTCACAAAAGCCCTGCCTTCCAGTCTGATGACCTTTCACATAATCTGTTCCTCAACATGCACTGAAAAATTTTCTTCAAAGAAGTTCGGAACGAAGTTTTTCTCTCTACATAGTCATAAGTAAGGCATAAATGTGACTGACTGTTGTGTAAATAGCCAGATGTCGGTATGATCTGAGCGGGTGTCCATCCCATTTCATCAGCAGACGTCACTTGCCGCCAGTGTGTGAAGGCTGAAAATTAGGTTAATCCCCATAGAACCTGTGTAGAGAAAATAACACAATGACAGCTCCTCACTCTAAACGGCAGTTGGTAGAAACGTATTGAGGACCTTCGACTGTTAGGGAGGTAACTTATGAAGATCAGGAATGCTGATCACCGTAAACTTATCCTTTTTAATACCTCAAAAGATATTCTTCATGCAGAAAATATACTTTCCCAGCTTAAAGACAGTGGTTCTACTGGCCGATGATAACTGAGATTCTAGCGATCTCCCATTTCGAGAAGGAAGTAGTGTTGTGAGCTTTCACTATTTTTGCAGCTATTACATATGTAGAGTGTGTAATTGTGAGGACATAAAGTATCTGATTGAACTGCAGTCATTCACTTTTAGCTGTACCTTTGTTTACCAATGGGCTATAGCACGATCACTGGATTGTGGAGGGACTGCCTAGCCCTATATCCTCTTTATGTCATCGTTAGCAAATACAGCTGAAAGTACTGTATTCCGTCTCCACTATTTGGGTGATGTTTAGGGTTTCTAGTCTCCAGGTTAGGCGGTCCCTGCTAGATTCAGTCGCCAGTGAGCTACATCGCAGGTCGAGCAGGATGGGTGGCCATACAACAACTGTGAGTGCCATTTCAAGTTGAAGCCAACCCTAAGATGAGCTCAAATCCAATCAAGCAGCGCAAGTAAATGGCTTCCTAGAGAGAAACCGATTGAAAAAAAACTACAAAGCATCTGAGCAATGTATAGGAGATAATACTACGTCACAGCCGGAGAATACAGTTACAACAATTTGGACCACATCTGCCATTTTGTAGGTCCAAATTTAAAAATACTTTAAAAATGCTACTTCAAAAGTATATATCCGTGTATGTAGAGTATTCAGCTGACGAGTTCTACCGAAATTTGATGAATTCATTAAATCCTGCTTTATTAACCTTTATTGCTTGTTTTAAATTCGTATCGGGAAATAAATGTTTCCAATCAGGACAGATTCTTATAAATGGTCACCATCGAAGTTGAGCGACAACCCAAACTTCATTCCATTTCCTGAGGATAGTTTTGGCCAGTCGATAAACAAAATATATTTGAGTGAGTGCTATGCTCCCACGTGAGTGAACGCTATTATAGGAAGAGATCAAAATCCTGCGTGGCTGCAAAATGGTATAAAATGCAATTATAAATAATACATTATTGGAAGTGTATTTACAAGATAAATACAAGAAGCTATAAAGAACTTGAAATGATAGTATACGTTTGCAATGTGTGATGCCAACCATGTGGTCTTACTATGGAAAACTATGACGTTTTCGATAAAAATATAGTTATTCTCAAACATGGATGTTGACGTTATGTTTTTTTCTTGATCAGAGCAACCAGACTTTATCCAAGCGAAGAGTGCGAATGAAAAGAGTAAATTTCAGCTTCATTAAATGCGGAGATTGTTCCACTTATCATTCGCATTTTGCCACCTGTTTCCCTGATAAGTCTAAATACTTACCCACCGCCGATGCCTTCTCCATCTCTTTCGCTTTTGTCACCCACCACTGTTCACGGTCGTTATGCAGACTTCTTGTTAGTTTGCGTTTGAGCAGCTTTCGCTCCTCATCATGTTCGGGGCTCTCCAGAATCAGTCTCCTTGCGTCTACTAGTTCGGATGAGGTAGCAGAAATCCAGTGGCTCTTACTGACTTTTGGTTTCAGGTTATTAACAGCCTTTGCAGCCGTTTCAACAGCTGACTGGCCTGTATGTTGAGCCAGGTCTCCTCAGGAGGAGGAGAAGGAGTCTTGCTGTCGATCTCAGATACCCGTTTCGTTATTTGTTCTTTGAATACGGACTCTGTCTTGATCTAGTTGGGGACGTAACTGCTTCACTGCCAACAGATTTTATATCCGTTTAATCCTAAGCACAAAGATGCGCGAACCAGGGCGTGACCGGAGTTCACTCACGTGTTCCAGAAGGAGCGGCAGTCTTCTACTGACCCTCGCCAACGATACAATATCGCTATGTGGTCTATTTGAGTCCCACGTTGATTTGGTGATGGAGGTCGCCAGGTTACACAATGTCTCCCTTTGTGCCCAAAGTTAGTGCTGACTAGGAACAGATGATTATCCCGACAGAACTGCAATAGACGATCACCGTTTTCTGTTCGTCGGCAGGGAACTCCGTACGTACCACCGGTTTTCTTCCCATTCTGGCATAACTGCCCTACTTGGGCATCGAAGTCGCCTGCAAAAACAAGTATGTTTGAGCGTTTGGCTTTTTGCAGCAAACTAGACAGTTTCTGGTAAACATCACCCCTTAATTCATTCGAACGGCCGTCTGTTGGGTAGTAAGTGGAGACTATGAAAAGGCAACGACGGGTAACGTCGTCCTTCCTTCCTTTCTCCCTCTAACGGACCTGTTCAGACAAACCGCACACATACGCTTATTCCCTGGGATCCAGTCAAGAAGAGACTTTTCTATCCTAACACTCAGTGATATCCCTACACTTGCCAGTCCTCGCGAATTAGCCGAAGAATCTCGTGACACCCTTAAGGTGAATTTCGCAGAGTCGCCTTGTTGGCAGGGTGGGGTCAAGCGAATAACCACACTGGGGTTTTTTATGCGTGTCTCCGAAACACAACATACATTCATGGCTCGAGATGCCACAGTTTTCGCTAGTGATGCCTTCGTCCAACAGACCCGTCGAGGCTGACAGCATACATGCGACCATCCACTGGAAATTCAGACAGGAAAGAAAATATTGGTAACTATTGCCATTAGTTTTTTTAACTGCTCGATTTCATTTCTGATGTTTAACAACATATTTGAAGATTCTGCCGATCTCTTCTTTTAGGCACAATTTCTGTAGTCTGTCTAATCCGGTCCTATCTTACTTTGCCGGAGTTGGAGCTCGTACAAGCAGGGACGTAGTAATGACTTCACTTTCAAGGCATCGAATGCTGAGAATACGACAATTCTCATATGGCACAAGACACACAACAAGACAAGAACTAAGCAGTACCAAGGAAAATCTAATACAGGAAGCGAGGCACATGGGAGACGCTTTGAAACTTGATAATTATCCTGACAAATTAATCAGGAAATGTGCAGGAAAACGTAAAAGTAAAATAAATAATACTAGTACTGATGGTGATAATAATAATTGTAATAATATTGAGAAGAAGACGAAGAAGAAGCGGAAGCAAAATAGTGTTCATGACGATATGCATTTCGAACATGCACAGGATAATGACAACACCGATATCTACCGATATCCATGCTGAAAATTCCACACTTGTACTGAAAATACGGTGTGGAATCAAGCTGTAAATAAAAAAAAACGATAGAGGAACATAGGGCAGGGAATACAAATTATCAGTAGTGATTCCATACAGAGAAGGAAACTCGGAGGCCTTACGGAGAATTCCTAACAATGCAGGAATAAGAGTTGTTGACATTCAAACCCACAAGCTCAATTAGAAATAAGCTTTGTCGATTAAAAGATACCGTGGAGCCAATGAAACAGAAGATTTCAGTTTATCTGATACCCTGCCTGCAATGACTGTCAGGTCAAATACATAGGGAGAAGTAGTAGGACGGGATCAGTCAGTCAGTCAATCAGACTAGATGAGCACACAAACCTACCAGAATCTTGATTAGTCAACCCCAACAGGATAAGAAATCTGGAGAATAATTCAGCAGCTATAGCACTCACTACATGCAATTGCACACAACCACACAACAGGATGGGATACGACGACAGTCTTGAAATCCAATGTAACAGCTGGGTGGTGGAGGGAGAGATTGATAACGGAAGCTTCATTTATCGAATCAACTGCAAACGCGTGTAGTAGAATTCATGGTATGATTATGAACAATAAATTGTGTTCGAAACGTCATCCAGTAAATACTACTGTTTCACCGTGTGATATATCTAATAAAAATGTTAATATTGAATTACATACTGCCACAATGCCCATGTTTCACACATACCTTAGGTTGGTATTATTTCCCCAATGCGCCATCAAGACTTGCGTGGAATATCTCAGTCATATTTACCCCGGTTGCGTATATTATTAGTGTTCACTAGTATTAAGGAGG